TCAAGGAGTGGAAGCAGCCAGAGAACTTGAAGGAGTTGCGGAGTTTCCTTGGGCTGGCTGGATACTACAGAAGATTCATCCAAGACTTCGCAAAGATTGCAACGCCTTTGATAAACTTGACAAGGAAGAAGACTCCCTATAAATGGACTTCAAGTGAGGATGCAGCCTTCAAGGAATTGAAGACCAGGCTGACCGAGGCACCTGTATTGAAGACTGCTGATCCTGACCGAGATTACGTTGTGACCTGCGATGGGAGTGACACGGCTGTGGGAGCTGTGTCGAGTCAAGTTTATGACTCCGGTGATCATCCTGTGGCATTCGAGAGCCGGAAGATGAATTCAGCAGAGGCCAACTACCCTACTCATGAGCGGGAACTCTTGGCTGTGATTCATGCGTTGAGGACTTGGAGACACTATCTAGAAGGCAAGAAGTTCAAGGTCATCACGGACCACTACTCCTTGAAGTACCTCATGACGCAACCGAACCTGTCAAAGCGACAAGCAAGATGGCTGGACTTTTTGGCTGAGTTCGACTATGAGGTGATTCATAAGCCAGGAAAGTCGAATGTGGTTGCTGATGCCTTATCTAGGCTTTACATGATTGAATGCTTGTCGATTTCTGAAGTAGAATTGGATTCGAAATTGCTGCGGAAGTTGGAGGAAGAGTATGCTCGTGATGAAGAGAGCAAAGCAATTTTCGAACATCCAGATCGCCACCCAAATTTGAAGGTGCTGAATCAGCGCATCTATTGGGTTGATGATGAGCGATTGCGATTGTATGTGCCAAGTGGGACCTTGAGAAGTGCAGTGATGACTGAATTGCATGATGCACATTGTTCGGGTCACTTGGGCATCAAGAGAACATCTGACCTGGTGAAACGGGATTTCTATTGGCCTTCTTTGGAGAGTGATGTGACGGAGTTTGTGAGGAGTTGTGATGCATGTCAGTGCAACAAACCTTCGAATCAAAGAAGTGCTGGGTTGTTGCAACCGCTGGAAATACCTCACAATCGTTGGGAGAAAGTGAGCATGGATTTGATCACTCATTTACCAAAGACCCGATCCGGTTATGATGCTTTGTTGGTTATGGTGGATTATGGCACCAAGATGGTGGTGCTGAGACCAACAAAAGGGACAGCCACTGCTGTGGATGTGGCTAAGATTTTTGTGGATTCCGTTGTGCGAGTCCATGGTTTGCCGAGGACCATTGTGTCGGATCGTGACAGCAAGTTCACGAGCCATTTTTGGAAGGAAGTATTCAAGAATATGGGAACAACTTTGGCGATGTCGTCGGGATTTCATCCTCAAACTGATGGCCAAACGGAGAGGGCCAACCGTACGATTGAGGAAATCATGAGAGCGTTCGTGGGAAGACGACACAACGACTGGGATCAACGGTTGAGCATGGTGGAGTTCGTCTACAACAACGCCGTGTATTCTTCAACTGGATTTACGCCTTTCTACCTTTGCTACGGGCGACATCCAGTGAATCCTGCAAACTTGTTGGCTGGAGCGGAGACGAAGAACGTCACAGCTAAGGACTGGATGGAGACTTTATCCAAGGATCTACTGCAAGCACGCGACAACCTGACGAAGGCTCAAGAGCGACAGAAGCGATATGCGGACAAGAAGCGACGACCTTTGGAGTTGCGTGTTGGTGATGAAGTTCTGTTATCTACCAAGTACCTCAACATCGCTGGAGTTGAACCAAGCCACAAGTTTGGACCATTGTACATTGGACCGTTCAAGGTGGCGGAGTGCTACACGACAGCCTACAAGCTGGAGCTGCCGGCGCACATCCGAGTGCATCCTGTCTTCCATGTTTCTCACCTGAAGTTGTACCGAGCGCCAAAGGACGCCAGAAGACGTTCCCAACCTCCCGAAGCAATCATCTCTATGGACGGCCACGAGGAGTATTTCGTCGAGGAAATCGTTAACCATCGACTGCGGAAGCACGGACGTTGAACCGTCAAAGAGTACCTCGTCTTTTGGGAAGGCTATCCTGCCCATGAAGCGACTTGGGAGCCTGAAGACAACCTCCAAAACGCGCAAGAGAAGATCCAAGAGTACTACGGCCGCATTGAGGACAATGCTTAGTTTAAGGGGGGGAGATTGTAGTGACTGGACACCCTACTGTACATTGACGGGTAATTAGATGACTTAGATGAGTTAGATGTGTTTATCTGAGTCTAAAATGTGTTAATCATGATCGCCACGTTCATCTTGTTAAATGGGCCAATTTTCGGTATAATGAGGTCATTAAGGCAATTTAGGCCATTAATCTATTTCTGGCCATTTGGGGCATTATTCCTTGATGGAACCGGTGTGGTGATGAACATTATAGCCTATTATGATGCGTCAAGGTGAAGGGAGTCAGCCAGAAGTGGTGGAGTATACCTGGGTGGATTACTAACATCCGCAAGACGCAAGATTCCGCCGGTGGTAATTCGTGACACATTGATCAGTACAAGCGCCCCTACGCAATGGTGCGTACCTTGAGGACGTGGTATAGGCCGCCTGGCATTACTAGAGGTACGCCAAGGGGCTAAGGGACCATGTGAGTGGCTCTCCAAGGGCCGAGGTGGCCTTACAGGAGGCCGAGGGTGGCATGACATGAGTGTATTGGACATTACAGGAGGCCGAGGGTGCCATGACGAGAGGGGGAGCGCGCCACCTATAAAAGTGGGCACCCAATAGGCCATTTGTCTCAGTTCGCCGGTGCACTCGACCTTGTCTGGACCAGGGGGCCCACCACCGTTGTAATACATTGACCGAAGCTCCGCCATCTGTCCCATTTGGTCGCCATCGTCCTGGGGATTCTACACCCGGCCCGGCGGAAATAGCCAAAATCAGTCTGCTTTTCTTCTTGTTTTCTTCTCATCTCTCCACAATCGGAAATTGGCTTTCTTGGGCGTAAAAGGGATCGAGAAAGACGTGTGCGCATCAACACCCAATGGCATGCAATGCTCTTTTGGAACAAAATGTCAGGTACCAGGTCACTGACTGCGTGTCATGTGACTAAATCATGGTGCCGGGCTAAATTTGGGTATTAAGAAATTGCTATGATTGGCTTTTGAAGTGTCACATATATGCGATGTGTTTTGATGTGAATGTGTTTTTTATTGTTTGAATTTCATTGTATTATACTTCTGATCAAAGCAAGAAGCTCCTGGCGCGTGGTTTTTCCGCGCGCGCCCCGTGCGATGGATCGACGATCCCTCCGGCGGATGGCCAGGCGTAATCGGCACGGTCGCTTGCTCGATCTCGACGCGGCGCGGACGTGGTGGGCCCCTTGGCGGAACGGCCTCTGCGGTGCGTCAGTCGGAAGGGCGGATTGGGTCCGGTGTTGCCTTGCGCGCGGTTCGCAGGCAGGCAGTGACAGCAAAACGGATGTTCGTTACAGGGTTCCCAGCGTCTTGTCCCCGCGGCACACAGCACGGTTACATAACCCTCATGTCACCCTGTACTTAAACCACCTTCCCCACAAGCACCCAGACCGTCCCCGAAGCCCTCTTTCTAATGCAGCGATATAGCCCGAAAATGGCCAAAATCCCCAAATCGCCTCGCTGCGCTCGATGCTCACCCAAGGCGCGGATAATTGGTCCGCGCGCCTTTGCGTCGCATCTCACTCCGCTCGTATAAAGAACCAAAGACAATGTTTACACAACAACTCCCCTAAAAATCGTAAAGCACAATGGGATCCTATTCCATCAGGAGCCAATATAAGGTCCCAAACAATAAGGTATGAAGAAGGCATTAGTGTTTGGTCAGCATTCAATAGAGAAAATGTCAGGAAGGCATGGATGTGGGTTTGAAGTGTGTGTAAGTTAACCCTTGAAGATGATGCAGGGATCCACACGGTGGACCAAAAGCAGCGCAAGTTTGCTCAGACAGCGATACACGCACAAGTTGAGCTAGTGCCATCAGCCGCAAGGCGTCGGGCATGGAAGGGCAGTTCTTACACTTCACCACATCCATTTATAGTACAAGTTTCCCCGTTCGTTTTACTTGCACCCCCGCTGGCTCTTTCTGTCCGTACCGCATTCTTCCGCACTTCCCACTGAAACCAGTAACCCAACTAGACCTTGACAGCCTGTCTCACGCCTCCCGTCAGCACACCCTACCCCGTAGTCTCCCTTAGCCCTCCCTATTTCTGTCCACAAAGCCGTACTAGCGCGAAGTCCCCCATAGCCCGTCCTAAATCCATAGCCCGTCCTAAATCCATACCCACAGCTCCTACTACCACACTTCAGTTCCTACTTTACCCGCCCCATGCTCTGACCGACGTTCTGCCATGTCGCAGGTGCAGGACTCCCCCTTCCCATACATGTGGCGGGGGATGTCGCAGGAGGTCGCGATACTTAACTTTGGTTCCGGTGTGGCGCATCGTTGGGGACCAACGACGACGGGCTTCAACAGGAACACCTGCCTCGAGGCGCAGCCCTCTACTCCAAGTGCCGCAGAGGGACACAGCGGCAGCAGGTGGGTGCCAGTATCAGTCTACACCTGGCTGGTGGGTCCCTCGCAGGGGTACTCCGCCACCACGCGGTATTTGGTGTTGTCGCGGATTTTGGCTTGGAAATTTTTTGTCACCTTCTGGATTCGGGCTGGCTGCGGTCCTGGACGTGTCATTTTGAGCACGTGGCGCCTGTTCGCTCGTGGGCCGATGCGGTCTGGTCTGCACTGCTCCCCTTGCGTGGATGCGGCACACTGTGTCGTGCTGTCACCTCTTAATTCTTTTCATAAGGCTTACTTCGAGCTATGGGTGTTCCTCCCGGCTTGTGATGGTGCCGTTCGCACGAAAGCCCAGTCGTCCTTTGGTCGAAATTTGTGCAGATAATAGCCGTTTTCCGCTTTCGTTGATGCACTTGTGCCAACTAGGTGTCAGCTCTGCAAACGTGCGTGTCGCTCAGTGTTAGAACATGGCTGAGTGCTGTCGCTGGCGCTGCTGTGCTGCGGCAGAGATTGTGGGAATCGGGCACTGACCCCGTGCTGGCCAACATGACCTTTGAAAACAGAGGGGCTTGCTACGGCCCTCGGTGCAAGCCCCAGCCCCCAGTGCCTGATGGAAAGCTGCCATCACCGGAAAGCGAAGATCAACAAGAGCATGGGCATGGTCCTGGTCGGCCGGCGCCTGTAAAGCTGCTGCTACCCACCAGAAACGGCAGCTCAGCCTCGACGAGCCAGGGCCATAGGCAGTCAGTCCTTCACAAAGGGGAGGATCTCAAGGAGATGAGTGAGACTTCCAATGGAGAGGCGGCTTTGAGGTTGGAGCACAGGCAGTGGTGGCCCAGGCAGTCATTGCAGCTGTTTCGTCTCCAAAGTAAGGACTGCAAAAATCGGGACAGGTTCAAACGGAGAGTTGCTGACTTTGTTCGAAAGCAGTGTGCATCCGATCAGATGGATGGCCAATTGCATGGGGACCACGGCAACAAAGCCAGTACAAGCGGGAGATACTCAACTGTGGGTGGGGATTTTTCTTTCCCTGTCCTGAAGAGTCCAGATCTTGCCAGCAGGGGATCCATTGCATCGACATCTTCCAGTCCGCCAAAAGCAACTGCCACCAGTCGGCACAGAGGTATGGGGACCCTACCAAATAAGGCTATTCAGTCAACCCCAGGGTCATCTTCGCTGGTACAGTATTCAGCAATCTTTTTGACAGAATCCAGTAAAAGATCGCTTCTGGAACATGTGCAGCCAATACATCCGATGGTGAAGGCTGATCGCATGGTGTTGACCCACAAACCAGGGTCTGATTTACTACCTATGCTGCTGGAACTGCCTTTAGGTGCAGAAGTGACCTTGGTGGTTTCTGGAGAAGCCACAGATGTGTCTTACCAGGCAGTTGCTGTAACACCACCTGTGCACCTCCTTGGGAAGTTCCCCAACTGGGACGTCCCACACGTTGCAGTATCCATGGTGCCAGGCGTTACCCCAAGGGAGGCTGGCCCTTTGGTGAAGGCGGCAATGAAAGGAGAGAGGGGACAGTTCAGCACTTGGACTAAGCCAATTTTTATTTCAGGATATGTTGGGATGCAGTTGGCTAATAAGAGGGTGGTGAAGTCATGGGAGCAGATGGCCAAAGACACTGGAATCGATTTTCTGAGTATGAAAGCTGCCTTTGGGTTGTGCAGCAGGAGGGTTTACTGGAAGGAGGAGCAACAATTAGGGAATGGCAATTTTGGAGCTGATATTGTCTGTGCAGTCTGCAAACCTGGCCCATCATGTGGTCGGGGCGGCTCCTGTGCAGGTTGTGTGCAAACGAACTGCCCAGCTGGTGTTCTGGTAGGAAGTGATGAACAATCAGCAACAGGAAGCAGTTCTCTGACAGTGGCCTGCACCACGGACTCTTGGACACTGCCTCGTTCTGAATTGGCAAGTTGCTTGAAACAAGAAAATAAAAGTGGGCAAAGGAATCGGCTGGGGGGTGAGGGTCCACAGAGTGACGTGGAGTACGAAAGTAGACATCAGGAAGAACAAACGATGGAAGAGCAGAATGTGGCTAAGCTGCTTGTTGAGTTTCCCACATTGGAAGTGCTGCTTGCAAAGTTCATATTGAGTGATTGCCAGGGTGATTTGGAAAATGCCAAGCAGTACCTTAGAGAGTGGATGCACACAACGAATGCAAGACTCAAGAAGGTTCAGCAAGGCTTGAGAATGAGTTCCGAGAGGCTGCATGGTGTGGAACGGGTTGGTGGAAGGAATGGCCGTGTGCTCAAGAGTTCTTCAGTGGGGGATGTTGCATCTATCTCTGCACTTACAATGAGTGAGCAACCTGTGACAGAGGGTGTCGTCACAAAGAGCAGGAAGAGAGGAGGAGCAGGGCGTTCAAAACAAGACCTGCTGGATCCAACAATAGAGGAACAGAAGGACATGCTGAAGCAATTGTCGATAAGGCACAATCAGATTGCACAGGCTCACAAGAGGAAGAGCGATGAGTGCCGCTCCAAAGCACAGAGCTGTTTCAGTGCTGGAGACTGCGAAACAGGAAGGACACTGAGTGAGACATGCAAAGAGGCAGATGATTTGTTCCGTGAACATTTAAGACTGGCCAATGAAGCAGCCTTTGGCAGCAGCAATGTTGACAAAGTCAATGAATACGTAGTTGACTTGCACGGCATGCTCCTGCCTGAGGCCATTGAATCTGTAAAAAGGCATTTGCAGGTGCTGCAGCAGACAGTGGATGGGCTGAAGCCCAGCAGGGGACTAAGAGTGCGTATTATTACGGGGTGGGGAAAGAATAGCAGGGGCCGGGAGCCTGTTCTCAGGCCATACATCATGCAGTATCTGCAGCACCTGGGTCATTCCAGCCAGGTCGAGGAGGGGAATGCGGGTGTGGTGTCTGTGGATCTCCAACCAAGATTCATTGAATGATCGGTAGGTGAGGAATTGGTCGTGCTGAGTTCTGATGGTTCTCAGTGTAGTTTATGTAGTGGTGCATGGCAGAGAAAAGAGAGTTGTCACTAGTGGTTGACTTCTGGTGGGAGTGAAGGGAATAGATTTGGTGTCAATAAGTGGTCCATCTCAGGGTGCCCCAGCCTGACAAGGAAACGAATATTTGTGCATGGTGGTTGTGGGAATTCCTGAAGCTTGATTGCTGTAGGGGTTGGGATTTCCACACTCAATGGCCAGTGGTCCTGTCTTTTGTCACGATGGCAGTTTACATGCATTTCACTGCAATTGCCCTGTGGAGCCGCAGGGAATCGCCAGATTGTTGTTGTGGGTTGATGCCCACACGGCCAGTATTATTGTTGAACTTTTGACCGAATTCTTTTGATATCCTTGCTTAGCTATGCTCTCAGATACCATGTTAAATTGATACATGTACTTCTTTGTAATTGGGATTGTGCGTGGCACAGGGTGGCATCTGTTTTAGCGATTGGGTTGCGGAAGTGTTGAAGTGCCCTTATGGTTGGCGGCCACTGAGGCTGACAGATCACCAGCTCGATTTTCTTTTCTTTTCGTTTTACAGCAAGGCACAAGGAACTGAGTGCAGCAGTGCACCGAATGAAGGTTCCAATCAAAAATCGTTCCTGTGATGCTCAGATATCCCCCTGAACTCAGCGTCTCTCGTTTGGCTTTCCGAATTCAGCAGGTAGGCACCCTGCTCTTTAACTCTCTGACCTCCAGGCGAGGTTCGTCACGTAAGGGCGGTCCTTCGCATCAAACAAAGTCCTCCCTGCTGCCTCGGCGCCACCATCGGCACATCGCCAACGAAAACGAGAACTCCAGGCGTTTTCACTTCAGGACCAACTTCGCCATATGTTTCAAGCAGCAATATTTTGTCGGCATTCAGAATGTGCCTGAAGATGACATTTATTCAGGTCTCCCGCTGCTCCTGACCGCTCCTCACGCTCCAATTCAGTAGTTCTGTCCCCCCCCGCTGTCTCAAGCCTCTTGGTGCTGGTGAAGCTGCCCACTCCGCTGAGAAGGTCTTGGACCCAAAACACCAGGTCGCGCTGGCCTAGGCTGCCATTTGCGCTTCAAAACAACGAACAGTTTGGGTGATCGATCCAAAGCGAACGTTGGAACTAGTCTGCCTTTCTTCTCGGTGCAGGGACAGGGTAGGGAGGCCAAAATGTGGGCAGCATTTCGGTGCTAGGCACCCGCACAAGGCACAAACTCACCCAAGCAATTGTCACAGGCCAGTTTGACCCCACAACTAGCCCCTTGCTGCGGGCAGATATATTGCCTGCTTTGGTCCCCGGCAACCCTTGAACCCTTGAACCACTTGAAAAAATTTCCCAGGAATCTACCTCCTGACCTTGCTATGCAATGTTTACATGAATGAATGAAACTTTCCAGGTCAATGTTCAATTCGAGGGTCTTTGCGTGTTTTAGTTGCGATGACGTCTCATTTCGGCATCTGTCGTGAAATGAGTGCACTTTCCAAATTCATCACTAAATTTCTGAATGCAAGAATCTAAAGGTTTGATACACCCCTTTGTCTATTTCAGGGCTGCCCCTTCTACTTGAAGGCTGTCCCATCGGCGTCAGCCATTCCACAGGGATGGCCTCGCTTGCCTCACAGAGCTGACGTAAGTGGCACGTGCCATCTGCGTCACTTGCTGTACCTCCGCCCGCTCCGAGAATATATTACTACCCGTTCCTGTTTGCTGAATTTCGGTTGTTGTTCCGCTGACAAGGCCAGTCCCGGTGCGTGGATCAGTAATTGGGGTTTAGGGTGTCCGAAAACAAGAACCGAAATTCAGCAAACAAGAACGGGGAGTAATATTATGCCGCCCGCTCCACCCTCCACGGTTGGTTCCTTCAGGCACCACGTCAGCGTACAAAAAGTTGTCCACAAGCAGCAACGTCACGAGAACACTTGTTGGCCCGTGTATTGGGCTAGGTGCACGGCGACTGCTTTGACGGCGGTTTGATGACGGTGTCCTGTGCTTGCACGATGGCCGTTTCCCTGCGGCCGTGTGTCTGGGGACAAGACAGAGAACCCTCTGCAGCTGTGGCTGCGGGGCCACGCAGGGCAAAGGCGCTGGCCTTACCTGAGCGGCGCGCTGGGTGCAGACTGGAATTAAGGTGCGCCGCGGCAAATGGACCCCACCTGGATATGCTGGTGGTTGTGTACAATTCCAAGTCCAGCTTCAAGGCTTGTGCTCTACTCGTCACCACGCCAAGTCCCTTTGGTGCTTGAAGCGGCCAAGGCGAAGCGTCTAATAAAGCGACGCCACCAAGGCCATGGCTGCCAGCACATGCCGCTGGAGAGCCTTGTCCTGCTGTATCTGCGGCAGGAAATGGCTTGTTGATGGGGCGGGGTAAAACGTACATGAAGGGCAGGGTCTTGCAGAAGCCTTAGCTGAAAGTTTCTTGGGACATGGCAGGAGCACCACATGGGAATCATGGTGCACCTCTTGGCTAGACTCAAGCAGACTGCAACAATTCACAATCGATTGTGCTCTTCGGTTGTAGCATGCCCATAGGCAATACATGTGAACTTAGATCCTGTACAAGCAGCTTTTCGTGCTTTAGCCAAACACTCATCGCTTGGAATGAACGTCTTTGAAATGGAGCTTTAGGCTGCCACATCACTCCACAGTATACTGCACTGCCACTGCACTGACACTTGCTACTCAATCTTGCTGCCAGGCAAAACACACTGAGGCACAAAATGTTGCAAGTGGCGACCAAGGTGGGCTGCTGACCACAATACAGGGTTTTGTTGGCTGGATTGCATGTGCACACATGTACCAACATTGTGTTGTACCAACAAGGAAATTTGCTTACCTTTGTTGACGTTGGTTGTCAGGACATTTTGCTGTCCTGAACAGGGTATTGATGTCAGAAGTCAGTACATTGCGTCAAGGTCATCAACCAAACAAACAAGAAGGAAAATTGGCAAAGGAAACAAGTGCATGCCAGCAGGCAGCTTGGAATGGGTACAGAAGAATGTCTGAAGGATGGGCCTGACATGCAGACGGCAGAAATACAGTAGCTGGGTGGAGTCAAGCACACTGACTGCAGGTCCATGATCATGTATGCATGTTTGCTGGACATCATATCTTGTACTGGAAAGGTGGAAACTGGAACTTTAATCGCTTTGGCTGTGTACCCAGATGTTCAAATAAAATATAATATTCACTCTCGCGCAATTGGATTCACTGGCAGGAAGATATTGGCAGCGGGTGTGCTGAAATATGGACTGTGAGCTTGGAGCTTAAGCAGCTGCTGTGGTGGCTGGAAATCATTTCCACCTGCCAAGGCTGGCAGAGCACGTGCCCACAGCACAGATGTTGAGTTTTGCAAGTTTTGCTACTGTTATGTATTCAGTCATGATTTGCTACACTATGCGAATTCTGGCACATGGGAACACAAGAACACCCAAGAGCAAGTAAAATGCAGGAAGTCTGCATCGGCAATTGGCATCTCAAGTGTTCTCCATGTCTGAAGAAGCGAACACTTTAGGATTTTGACCTGCTGCTGGAAGTTCCATTTCCCTTTCACTCCCCACCTTCGCAGCAAGTGCAACTCCTTTCTGGCATATCGTGTTCTCACACTGATGCTTTCACAATACTGGCTGTTGTAATTTCTACACGTGACTGTCACATGTAGCAGTCGCTTATTGCATTCGGACCACAGTCACTGATAATTCATGCAGTACACATCCCTCTGGGGATACCATGTTTTTGGCTTCTGTGTGGACACATAATTTTGCTATGTGGAATGCAGGCAGGAGGCATGGACCAAATGGGCGACTGGACATTGGATCAGATAGCTGGGTTGGCTTTTGGGGTGCGGACAAGCCTACCCTAGCTTCAGTCGTGTGTCCATTGAAACCCTCATTGCATCACCATTCAGAGCTCATGCCTTGTGAAATCAACCTGTACAGGATGGATGTTTGATGAGAATAGGTCAAAAGAAGATCATTTGCTGTCACCATTATGTTCAGAGTATTCCAGGTCGTTGTGGTTGCCTTTCGCACCAATGAAAGCCAGGTAGTTTTGATTCTGATTTTTGTTTGTTGAGTACAATTCCTTCTTGTGGCATTGTTATGTTCATCTAATTCCTGGAAGCAGAACATCCAACTGACAGACGCCATTGTAGCCAAATGTAGTTTTTCTGCCTTTTTGCCTTTGCAATTCTTGCTCCTGTGCGGAATTGGGTCGTTGAAAGTAATCTAAGGATCAGTCCACATGATCCAAAACGTGGACCTCTAAATCTGTAGCATTCCAGGCAGTAAGGGACAAATGCAACAGCGTGGGCGGAGTATCCAGGATGTAGACTTGCACCCTTGTGGAAAGCCCAATGAGAATTGATTGACCTCATTGAGTCACTTGTGTGCATGTGCGCGTTACTTGTGAGGAGGTCCTCTGCCAGTTCAATGTTTGCGCATGGTAGGATTGTAGTGACATTAATCACAGATATGTCCCGTTGTGCTTTTGGTACTGATTAAGTGGGCTCCCCACAGATCAACTTGAGTGCCTTGGGGATCATGCATCACTGCATGTTGTGCAAGTCAGCATATGTAGGCAAAAATGGTTCACTGTCTGTGTGTGAACAGTCCCGTGATGGGCAAGGATACAGCTTTCATGTAGAGCATCTGCTTTGGCTTCTTTCCATTCCTTCAGAGTGTTGGTGAGGATTGACGGCTGTGCATGATGATGGTACACATCTATTATAAACGCATCGGTATATCTTCACATTGGCGATTTCCACAGCTGTTTGTTTCTTTCCCCTGCGTTTAGGATGCTGTCTGAGATTGTCTCGACCCACGAAGCGTTCCAATTGCATGGCGTTTCTCCATTTGTAGGAGTCATTGCATGCATGTGTGCTGTGCAGATCTTGATGATTGCGGCCTTCTATAGCACACAGATCATTGATGGCTATGTTGCTCGCTCCCAAAGAAGACAGCTGGGCCTGTGTGAAGAGTGTGGTGGCCTTTATGAACCCAGCACCTGTGCCAAGAGCAATTGCCCCAGCAAATTGGCAGAAATTTTGACCACAGTTGATAAATGACCTGACTGAGGACGTCGGTCCGTTGCGCTCAGCACGTTTGGTTGCTTGAGAAATTGGGTTGATTTGGCTAAGTTTTTTCGAATTTCACATGGTTCTCCTCGTGTACATGATTAACGATAGCTTCTCACAGACAGCTGCAGGAGGTAGGACGTCGGTGCCTTGTTAACTGGCTATGTGCTACTGACACGGTGGTGCAGTGACTGGCTGAATGCTGAGGAATGCTCATACTGGAGATGCGATGTGTTTTGCGACTCCTTAGGATTGATCAAGGCCCCTCTGCCTGGACCATTTGACGCCGGCATCCCTCCTGCAACCATCGACCACAATGTGGTATAGTCAAGTCATGACCAATGGATTCACATAGGAAACTGCCCGCTAACTGTCTTCATCCTATTCTCCATATGCGCTCTCCTGCAGCAGCGCATATATGGCACTGCCCAACACATAGTCCGCAAACAGCTGAAACTCTGGCCTTGCACCAGCCGGTCCGCCGCATTTGTGCACGGCTGGCACTTCCATTCTTGGCCTTCTCACATGCACAGTTTCCGAAGGATCTGGGGGCTTCCCTTGCGAGCGGCCAGAGTCGATGCTGCCCATCTCCTCAGCAACCTCATCGGGTGCTTCAACCCCACCCAGCTGCACTTCATTGCCGCCCTCTTCCTGCACCGGGCTGTCCTCGGCGAGACACGCCTCATTTTTCTCCACAGCGGATTCAACATCGCTGGCTGTGGGGTCTTCCTCTGTGCTCATGTCCAACGGCGCGTCCCCACGTTCGGATGCACCGTCCACTGAAGGCAGCGGCATGTCCTGTTGTTCCGAATCATGCCCCGCACCCGCATTGCTTGACATCTCAACAAAAAAAGGCCGCGGATCGTAGTCCAGGGACTCGAACTGACGCTGGCAGCACTCGCTGCAGAGGGACTCAGATATTATGCCTGATACGACATTGCGGGATAAAATTATCCCTTCCCTGCTGATGGGGGCGCGCTTGTCGGTTTCAGTGGTTCCCATGCTTGACGGAATTGGAGGAACGAACAACTGGTCATCCTGCACAACGAAAATCAGCGAAGCAGATTTGCCGTTGAGTAAGCTAGTCACCAGCTTCCCCGCGTGGCAGCAGAGGATGGCGAAGATGGACAGAGGGCCGCTATATTTGCCAGCAGCGGAGTGTGTCCAACAGGACATGTACCATGCACGGTGATGGATTTCGGTGTCAAGGCCAGTCCGGGCTGTTCACAAGATTGCAGAGTCTTAAGGATGGCTGCACGCTTTGCGACACATGTGGTGCCAAAGCAGAAAAGCAAGGCAACGAACACATGGCGACGGTTCGTCTCCCTGCGCCACGATGTCCTCTTGATTTTTTCGGACTGGCTTACCTTGGATGACTTTTCAGCGACGCATCCTTTTATCGTGACGATGATGACCTGAGACTCGGAGAGAGGTTCCTTCTCCAAGTGCGCGTCTCTGGTTCTGTCGATTTCCGTCAACATCGCTTCATGCCGATTGCGAATTGGCGTCAGGCGGCCCCTGATCGATTTTGTGGTCGAGGCATGCACGGGCAGTCGGCTGCCAACGACCATGCCCGGCTCGTGGCGCGCTCCCCTGCGTTGCCACGGGATCGCCTTTTACTTGGATGCGTGGCAATATGCTGTGCGGTGGGTCTGACAGCGAGACGACCAAAGACAGCTCTGGGATGGGCGAGCGAAACTAGTACCTAATTTCGCATCGAGAATGCTGTGGAGGAAGAAAGTTGATTTCACCACTTAAGCGCAACGTTTCGAATCACAGCTTTCGGCAACATCCTGGTGCATTTCCAACAAGCTCATCATTCTAAAGCACACATACTGCTGGCGTCAGGGCATCGGCTGACGTATTCAGTCACAGCAGAAGCCTGTGAGACTGCACATTGCAATCTAATGAGGCCGCCACGTCCTTCCGCACCTGGGAGGGTCTTCCGCAATGATCTCTTCGCTGTTTACATCGTGCGACTCCCAATATGCCACTTCAGCCTCTGGCTGGTCTTCAATGGACCTAACCAGCAGCCTGACAGTCCCGTCCAAAATTTCTGCTTGGAGACCCCCTTCATACTGGATCTTAACGAGCTGTGTATCTCCTGGTGCGATGCTCCCCTGCCAGGGATCCAAGGTAAGGCGCCCCAAAGCCAATCCCATCTCAGCTCTGAATGCATCCAATTTCCACTCAAAACTGACGTCCCTCATGCACTGATTCGTTACTTCCACTAGGCGGCATGACACACCCTGTGCAAAAGAGAACAGAGCCATAAGTTCACTTTCCGTGCCAAGGAAGACAAGCGTGTTTCTCACAAGGAAGCCCTTGACTGTCGTCTCCAACAACCATCTGTGCGAATTTGGCTACAATAAGTGGTGTCTGGTATGATTCTCCAATGCCCTTGCAGTGCAGGTGTTTCAAGTAGGAAAAGTACTTTGATCCATTACAACACACTATGTTGATTTTTGTTGTAGTTAACATCGATTGGCGCCATGGAGTGACAGGGGGTTGGGGTAAGATTTTGCGCGGGGGTCTGGGCTCAATGAAAATTTCATTATGTAATGTTTCTTTCATTTCCATTGAGACACGACATTATATGCTATACACATCTGTACTCGGAGGCAGAAGGATGGGCGATCTTCACTTGCCTTCACTGCAATATCACCCATATCAATGATCTCTTGGGAGACCATGGCGAGAGCATCTGACATGACGATGCGAAGCCCGTCTGTCCATGGCCTGGCGGCGGTGCATCCATATCCATTGTCGATGTTGCTTTCTTTGGTGACCTTGTCTGCTTCTGATGCTCCTGCACACACGAACTTTGCGCCACCGTATGGAAATTGCATGAAATGTGCCTCGAGAGTTATATTCACTTCAGGAACAATGCAGCACTGCGAAACTGAAACTCCACGCAGATTAGATTTGTTCAGTTAGTGAAGATGGAACCGATAGAGTTTCACTGGAATCAGATAAGCACACTACGATGTCCTTCCCACCTGGTACAAATCCGACACCTCGAACAGCAATTTCGTGGCTTTCTCCGCTGCTCAAATGTATTGGGATAGTCGCTTCGTACATTGCTGCCTCAAGGGGCGTGAATACCCATGTCACAGGCTGAACTCCACCCACAGGGATTTCTCCTGCGCTGTAAAGACACATACGTCGAAAGTGAGACTGCCACTCGTGCAATGGTGCCATTACATTTCCAGCACTGCCACCAGGAAAATAGGGTTTTCCAAATCGCAGTGTAAATCTTAGTGAACACCACGGTGCTTACGCCGCATTCAAATGCCAGAAGGCCATTCGAGATGGATTCCTACAGTTCTGTGTACCTGAACTGCGCCCCTCAAAGCGCAACACCTCGAAGGAGTAGTTCTCGCGGGTGAGCTTCTCAAGATTCGTGAGATCGAGCTCGTATTTAAGCACGCCTGGTCCTCCATTGTGCAGGCAGTACATCTGGCGGGGAGGCTGGAGGCACCCAAGCGGAACTGGCCGCAGGTCGAACGATCTCGTGGCAGGTGTCAGAGCCAGGTGCATGGTGTCAGGCGGCACCGTTCGACCCTCCAGCTGAAGCCGAATCCGCTTCCCGTCTCTAACTCGAAGGAGAATCGGGAGGCTATGGGTCCCTGCATAGCGGGTCCACACACAGTTGCACGGGTGTACATATGGATACAACGGGTGCGTCACAGTTGCAACGTGGGGGGGTGCTTTGGGGTGCGCAATGTAGTGCAACGAACATCCACCATATTCTATGAGAGAGTGACAGAAAGAAATGCATGGGTCAGGCGCATTGGCGGTTCCATCTATGCCATGAACACAGATCGAGTGGCAGAAAATGAGCTGTTTTCTAAGACAATTCAGGAAACTGTGACGATAAATGCTCCGCGAATAAAAGAAATGTCATCAAACGAGTGTCAGTTGAAGAATTCATTTCTTTGGCCTTTTTTGTCTGTGTGTGCTGCCGGCTGTCGTTCGTCCCTTCAACAATTTTGAATGTTGATGCGCATTGAGCTGTAATGGAAAGATAGTAAATCTATCGCCAGATAGGCGAACACTCAAATTAGGCTGCAAACGAACCTTCCGCCAAGGGGGTGTATATCGTCTTGATATGAACACGATCTCCCGGCATGAGATCTCCGCTCCTGGGATCTATCTGAAAAATTCTATTTTCAACGATGAAATCCCTCAATTTCTCTTGCTCATTCCTCGGTCGTCCTGGATCCACCCATCGCTCCATCTCGACGTCCGGCTGGTCGTGGCTGTGGAGCTCCCAGACGGCCGGAATATTCCCGGGATTGGACAGCTCAAAGTGCACAGCCACTGGCGCGCTCCCAATCGCGGACACACCAAAGTCCATGCAGAAGGGGTCCAACGCCTTCAGAACCTCGTCATTGGTGACTTTTCCCTCCACTTCAAGCTGCAATGTTTACAAAACTTTTCGTCACAGATTATGCAATCCAAGGAGCTTGACAAAAACTGACGCAAATGTTGAAGATACTCTTCAATCAATCTGGAAGGCCCGCCACAAACGCGGCGACTGCCACGGACAGTTCACTGTTGCTGCGATGCAAAAAACACATCTTACCTGTTCCATTCTCTTCTCGATATCACTCACGACAGATGCCGCCTCTGTGTTGATGCCTTCGGCGCTCATCATGTCCCACAGGAATGGTTTGGACCACCCATCGCAGAATGCGTCAGTTAGTCTGACAGCGGGAAATGCCGCTACGCCGGCGATGATTGCACATGGCGATTCTTGACAGCTCGAAAGTTCCAGATTCTGATGGGATGTGTTAGATACACTTCCCTGCCATGATTTGTTCTCGCAATTCGACTGCCGGGAGGGCAGGGACTTGTGACGGGGCTTCTGCGCGATGGGATGAACGGTAGCGGTTGTGCATTGGATGCTGATGCAGAATTCCTTTCGAACGAGGGGTCGAATGCAAATGCTTATGCTCTTCACTGACCTGAGTACACACAGGTTGATTACTGCGGCAATGTTTGCAGTGAAAAATCTCCTTCCTGTGCTTGGCCGTAATTGGAAGTAAATAATACAGGGCTCAAATGTTTGGCAACAAAAGTTTGACCACTTTGTGCAAAAAAATGAACGTTCTTGAAAATCAGAAGGCGCAAATACTTGACAGACCGCCCATGCCTATTTTATCAGGGGCCTGAATAGTTAAAATTGGATCCAAAGCCAGCAATAGTGGCACCGCATAGGGGAACCGATGGCTGCTGAATGGCAATTTCAGAGCTTGCCTCCAGAGCTTGGGCTTCGAGCAAATTGGAAATTTGCGTTTCATCCACGAGCTGCCCACCTAGAAGAAATTGTCCCCTCTGGCTCGTCTACAGAGATGATGACATCATCTGAGCCCTGCTCCAGCGTCACCGCAGAATCGTGTGGCGAGTCGTCTTCTCCCGTTTGTACCATGGCATTGACCTGAACGTGGCTCCCGCTTTCCCAACACATGAGACTGTACCTCAGAATACCGTCGCTTTGATTTACAAGGTTGGCCTTCTTTCTGATATCGTATCCCACAACGATGGTGCCCAGATTTGTGTTCTGGGGCTCCAAGCGGATGGCCATCTCGCTGCCCTCTCCCACGAGCTCAAGGAAAATTGGTTTAGAAGTAAGGGGTAAGGGGCTTCGATAAGATGCATTCCGCCTTGCAGAATGGTCATCCACAACTGCCGCTTCAGATGTACAGGCTCCTCCAGACAGCACGGGTTCCACCACCGCACATTGCGCCCTGCGACGTTGATTGCAGGCAATCTGCCCGTCACTCAATCGAGCTCTGGGCGACCACAGTATAAAGTAATTGTAAATGTGATGGTTCGGCATCACTCTGCATGTTTCGTCACCCCACCTTTGGCGCCTAACAGCCTGGTGACTACTGTCTATCCAGAAGCCAACTCTAAATTTTAATTTCAAAGCAGCCAAGGCTCCCGCAGCCAAAGCTTAGAAACTTGCGCCCCATCTCACTGAAGCGTTGTATAGGTCTTTGCTCAGCCATGTGTCCACTGCAGAGCGCCATGTCGCATGTTGACTCAGTATCTCACCTGGCACGGAAATGGTGCTTGCGCGTCGGCTTGAACACCCAGGTAACCTCGCAACTCTCCTTCCCTTGCAGGCTGCCCGCAGAAGGGTCAACCTCGAACACTGGGGATTCCTGCTCCGGCATGCTCCAACGGAAATCCACGGGAACGCGTGACACATTTCTGACCGTTAGGGTTCTCTGGGAGGCAGCTCCTATACATGTGGGCTTGAAAAACAATGATCCGGGTGTGCCTATCTCCAGCTTTGGAATGTATGCAGTTCCTTTCAAGCCAATTTCAGTCGCGTCGATCATCCCATTGTTAAGAGCACAAAGAACACTGCAGCGATAGGTCTGCTGCTCTGCCGCCCAGAAGCGAAATCCCACCTAAAGGAAATAGATATTGCAGTGAGAATCCTTTGCTTTATCGCCGGAAATTATAATCAAAATATCCATATATCCGCGCATTGCAAGATCAAGATGCACTGCATTGCAATTAACCGTGAGACATTGAGTCCCTAGCGGCATTGAACACACTTAAATCTCCTCTTCGGGAAGTACATGGGATAAAGATACAAAATCACGTGCAAACTGTCGTTGGTCTCTCTTTCTGCTGTCATTGAACATATGTTGCAATCGGAATGTCAGAAATATGAAATATCTGATGCTAATATGGGGGAAAGCTCCAATCAGGCTTAAAGCGCAAATTTGAGGCCATGTGGGCAACACCAGCATCAGTTCTGTGCGCGGAGCCGTCGAGGCTGTGACTAGATTCTGCAATGCTCTTTGCGACCGCAGCCAATGCGCGGGGGACATATCACCAGGTGATGGCTCTTGGATGGTATGACGCCTCTGGTGGGATGGACGTCAAAGTGTGGGTGCATTGTGCCTCCCTGGAAAGCGAAGGTGACAGGCGTGTCTCCCGAGTTGACCATCATGAGGGTTTGGTGCACTGCTTCTCCCACGTGGGCTGGAGGGAATGTGATGCTTCGTGTCGAGAAGTGCACCTTTGGGGACGAGTCTTCATTGCGGTGGAGGAAAGTGTGGCCTGTGACCTTTGCGAATGCAGGCGAAAGCATCAACAGACATTGCCACGGTGAGATCACGGATGCACGAAGAGCGCCTCGCAACATACTCAGCAAACTGCAGCACTTCCAGACAATAATACCAGTTTGTGAAAACTGGCCCTGACGGGGCTCCGGACGATGACTCAATGGCTTCAGATTGTTGAACTGTCGTAAAATGCTGGTGGTATTGCCAGCATTTCACGTCTCGCATGTTCCTTGTGCGAAATAAGGCTCCATATTAAGGATGATCCAGACGAAACTCATCGTCAATCTGATTGATGCAAATAACTGAATAAACCCTGAAGAAAGACATCAAGGTGCAGGCCTTGCGCACCTGAATTGAAACTATCCAAGGTGGAACGAAATTATCCTCCGTCACAAGTCTGAAATTCCTCATGGCTTTTGAGAATCCCACGACATCAATTGTCGAGTGGTAGTACATGGCGTCTTTGTCAGGACGAAAAGAAACTCTGAATGATGATTCAGATCCAGGCTTGATGTCCATTCGCGGTGGAAACACCTGTGGGCCCATCGGCCATGGAAATTTATGTCTGGCTACGGATTGCCCTGGCCTGGAGACATGTTTTATGGATCGAACACAACTATGCGGCTAACGTTTATTAAATGCGCATGCGAATTGTGGTCTGATGGGCCTCCCACATGCGCTGCACACAAATCAATGCAAGTGAGTCTGTCAATTTGCGTATGATAGTGCAAAGTAATCACAGTTATTTAGCCCTACATGTGTTCCCTGGAACACTCGCCGAGTGGGCACATCGCTGAACGCCTGTTTTTAAGAAGCGGATACAAATAATCGTACTTGCCATATTCGGAATAAGGTAACATGCTGGGTGTCTTAGAAAAATATACGCTGACAAAATACACCCCAAATTCATATAGACTTGGCGCTGGGGCAGACACCACACCTAAGGAATGGTGGTGTGGATCTGATCGCACCTCGAAAACGTTTCTCTGGGGCTTTTTCCCTGTGGCATCTTCTCTCAAAGGCACTTCAAAGAACACAGTGACCTTCGATTTATGGTTGTTCTTGACCGTTACGGTTTTGTACTCCGAGGAAGACAATCTAGAAGATGCCCCGAATTCCATCACTGACGTGTCAACCGCAATCTCTCTTCTCAAGCCCCTCCCAAAGTGCTCCGCCCAGCCACTTAGGAAGACCCTTGGAAGGCTTCCCAAACCCCCGGAGCTGAGCAGGGTCACCTGCCTTGGCTCTTTCTGAGTCTGGACTAACTTCTCCGTCGGACCGGCGCTTTTCAAATGACTCCGATGGGTGGTGCTCTCAGAGGATTTGGCATCTAGGGTGGACTTTTTCAGACCCGAGTTAGCGCTTTGGACATTTGACGCAGACGCTGCTACCAGTGGGCGTAAAACTCCCTGAGGAGGGCCAAATTCGGGCACCAGCGCATCGGAATTGCTCAATCTCCCAGTACTGCTCTGATTCCCTGCTCTGCCCGCGCGGTGGCAGTACATACTTGCCCCGAGCTCCGCTTGACTCGCGATATATTTTGTGATGTGGTGGAATCCAATGGGAGGCGGACGAGACTTATCAGAGTAGCACGTGCCGAAGAGGTCGACATTTGCGGGACCTGCATCCTTGCAAAGGCATCAGCAGAAAGTATTTCGGGTGGCAACAAGCGGGGATGATCCGAAGCAGCGATCTTGCGGCAGGCAGCGATAGATCCACCGCCAGGTAGCATGTCTCGCGGCGCCTCTATATGGTCTACTGCGGTTCAGCATCGACAATGAAGTCCCTGATAAGGCATTGGCACCTATGCAGCTTGTGGACGGGATTCAAGTTTTCCAGAGAACCCAGTGAGCTTCGGGTTTACGACCAACGTTGGTATGTATGTGCCTATATATTATGCGCGTATTTAGTCAGCCTGCCGTGCATTTGCGCCTGTCCGAGTGGTTTGGCATTGAAAAAGCGATCGCTTTCCACACATTGAAATGTGCCTGCCGCCGTAGCAAGCATTACAAATGCGCAACAGAGCCAGCATGGCGGCAAAGAATTCACTCCATCCATGCTAGCAGTTATCTGGCATTTTTGCCTGTGCAGGCCTCTGGAATCGTGTCCATTTTACTGGCAGGAAACATTCTTTCGAGATGCCAGCTGCGATGCTATTGGACATTAATTGGCGCCGCGCAGTTACAGCAATGCCACAAAAGGAGCTGCAAGCTTCTTCAACTGTATGCGCTGGTATTTTCTTTCCCCTTTTTCCTCCCCTGTGCAATTCCCGTTTCGCCTAGATGCCGGTGAATACATGAAAAACGCTTGGGTGAGATTTTCCGCTCTTCATAACATTTGAGGCTCAAGGCAAGGGCTGTGTGCTGTCATGTGTGGGGTAATCTCATCTAATACTGCACGAATGCGCTTGAGCTTCAGCGACATGTACGTCAAAACAAGTATCCTGCCCCTCTTTGGCAGCCTCTTGGCATGCTGCCTGCTTCCGCCCATCCTGTGCAGCAGGGGGCCTCCAAGACGTGTGCATTTGTCGGATATAAAGGCAGTCACACGCGTGACCAATGTTCTTACACGTAAAGATGCTTACATATGCATTTTGATACGCTTGCTATTTGAGATTTTGCAGCACCTCAGACGAAACAACTCACCTTGAACAGGCAAACCACTCGTTTCCAATAATTTGAGGACTCCACCGGCCTGAACGTCACAGTGACATGAGACACAGTGTGCTCCGGCAACACACCGCGAGTCCGGTCAAATGAGAATACGCCGTGTGGGTCGCTCATGATCTGGAAAGGAACGCCTTGAGGGGATTCATTTTCGATGTACAAGATCCGTGAATTCATTTTACCAGACGCAACGTCCCCAAAATCTAGTTCTTGACGACTTAGGCGCACTGTAGGACCCAAGGCCTTTCCTTGAAGTGAAAGAGCCACTTTGTTCCCTCCCGCCGTAGAGAAAACGTAACTCTCGAGGGAAAATGTGCCAGGGCTCTTTGGAGTGAACGTCACCGTCACATGGGCGAATCCATTTGGACCAAGGCTCTCCCTTCAACAACAGCAAGTTGCTTCGCACATCAGTTGCTAATTCTTCATTGAAGCAACAGTACGTCCACAAGATTGCCCCTCCCCACTTGCTGGCATTCCACTGCTGGCATTCCAAGGTATGCATTCCCTGCCCTTGCTGCTTTTTGATCAGCAGTCGGTTAGTTCCATGTACGAAAAGCTGCACCCACAGATGTGAAATGGGAAGCGTCTGAATGGACGTCTTTCACAAGGGGATCTAAGGCAAGCCAGTGAGAAGCCAAAGTTTCGGTGCCGACTTTCAGTCAATTTGGATGATGGCTGACGAAGGCAAGGGCCAAATGCAGCTTTAAAAGCTGTGCGCTTTCACGAAACTTTGCGTGATCCAAATTATCTTACAGGTGTAAGTGTGCGGGTAAGTAAGAAGCTACCTGTCTGAAAACACGTGGAATATGCCGTCATCCTCTCCATGATGTTCCATCCGAAAGTTGGCATCAACAGCCGACTGGTTTGAGAGAATCAATGTCCTTTGTTCTTGACGTCCAACAAGGACATCCCCAAATTCTATGCGCTCATCCTCCAGGGACAGGAAGGGGTATTTCCCGATTCCAGAAACCTGTAGGGGGCACCTTGCACCGTCAGTTTCACTTTCGAACCGCATCATCAGCATGTAATCACTGTCTGCGTGGTGCTTCTCAAGGACACACGATGCGCCACATGACTTGAAAGGGAAAGTGCAATGAACAAAACTTGTCCTATTCAGTTCGCAAATCGTCCACAGAACACGACCACGCTGTTTCTGATGTGGAATCCCGACAAAAGCTGTGGCGGATGGCTTAAATATTAAACAAAACGGCCACCAAAATTGAGACCCACCAGTTCGGAAGGATATATCACTTGCTTCAAACGATGCTTTTAACCCGGCGGTATTTAAAATATTCGCCCAGCAAGTCTGACATACTGACAGTCTGACGTGCATGCAGTACTACCGCAAAGCACTGCGACAACCCCTGCACGTGTCAGCAGCCGCCCTGCCTTGGGTTTTTCAAAGCGCATTGCGATCCCGCCATCCCGTGCCTCGACACACCCGCTGCGGGCGCATGGGAGAAAAAGGAAACTTTCTGTTGTGGCGATTGGCGTCTTTCGACCTAGCCGCTGAGCGAGGTTTGCCGGGCGCTCACAGCAAGTCGCACGTCGAGGCGGGAGCCAAGGGACCTGATGTCGTGAACGTGGCGAGGTCCGAGGTTCTTGGCCCCCGCCCATGACAACCCGGCTCTGGACAGATCAAAGAACCGCGAGCGAGTGATAGCCAGAGGAACAAGAGGCAGCCGGGCTTTCAAATTGCGGCATAGAGCGGTGCAACACAGTACGACGCCATGGCAGAGAGCTGCGCGACACCTCGCCGTGCAGCTATCATGCCTCAGCGATAGAAATGGGCACCCGTGCCATTGCTGCTCGAGTGGACCTCAGCAATGGCAAAACTTGCAAGGGGCGCACCCAAACCTCCATAGGGGGAGGGGGGGGGGCAACGGCTGGATGAACGGCCAGCAAAACGGCCACTTACTTTGGATCTGCGAGGTTCCAACTCGAGGCTGCAACGACCACGATGGATGGGGCAGCAAAATGCAAGTGTGTAATCGCGCTGCAGTCATGCAGGTGGGCTGCGGGGGCTCGCAGCACTTGTGAAGGGAAAGGCTCGCTCCAAGTCTCTTGTTGCATCAAAACGTGGAAGGCGTGTGAACAGTTCCTTTTGCGGCGTGAGTAGCAATCCTGTCCCCTGACTTGCACAATCCAAGTGACACACCTTGCGTGTCACTGTGTGGAAATGCCCCAACTCCCGACCCACCACCGCCACCAGCACCCACGTCGTCTCAGCCGCCGGGCCCACCCAGCCACACCCTTTCTATGCCTCACCCCTCCCTAACGCAACACCCCACATACGTCAACATGTTCGCTGCCAGCGAGAGAGCAAGCGGTTAGTGTTAACCACACGCTGGCCACGTAGACTGCGACTTTGGCACGGTGGCAAATATGGAGTGCCTTGATGTGGACGCGGCTGGACCTGACACCGGCGCCGGTGTTCTCCTGCCCAACCGTGTGCGAGGCGTGATGACTCCGCGCCTCGTGGCCAGGGGAATGGAGGCAATGCATCCCTGGATCCCTCTTTATGTTTGTGCTTGGCCACAACGGGCCAGTGCTCGCATCGGGCAATCCACACTGGTGGCTGCTGCCACCCTCACCCGGCCTTGCGCCACTGTCCTGCTGCACTGCAGAAAACTTACCCACCAAACTTGGCGGACAACCCACTCCTGGATGGCTTGGAACAAGGGTTAGAGCGTGATCAACAGGATGCGATTGCAATGGTAAACTGAGCGCCTTTAGGGGGGTCGGATCGCTGGCTCTGCCAGTGAAAACCGCCTCCTTAACTTGTTTGTGTGCGAGTGCCAGTAGAGGATTGGGGCGGCAAGTATGGTCGCTGGTGGGCACAGCACAGGGGTCGCTCAACAGGTGATCAACGTGCTCAATGGCCCGCCAACGTGCAGTCCATGGAGATGCCAGCCACCATTGGCTGCCGATGGCCGGTTGTGTTGTTGGCCTCAAACTAACCCTGATCACTGGGCATAGACCAGCAGGCCCACCCACTATGTGCCCATGGCTGGCAAGGCAAGCAGTTGCACCTTTGAAGGTGCAGCCTACCTCTCCGCAGCCCCCACGCTTCCAAAAGAAAAATCCCTGTGTCCCACTGTTATTGTGGGTTGTTCGCGCAGCTGCATAATGACCACCGTTTCACTGGGTGAGTCACTTATGATTCAGCTGGCGAGGGACTCACGTCTGACACGCATGCTGACTGTGTGGGATGGCCCGAGTATGCCACCACCGGCTAGAAAGAGAAAAAAGCGAAAACAAAAACAAAAAACTGGTCAAGAGCTTGCGTTTTTTGTAGTATGGCAAGCTGGTCATGAAAGTTGAGAGGAGTACTGCCTCAAGGGGCGCTTGGTGACGACTGAGCGACACCCTACGCTGCAAGAGTATTTCCGTGAAAGCTGCCTCACCGGTATTGACCGCGGCTCTCAATATCTGGTGGGGCCATGTGTCCTGAGTAAGGATACCGCCCAGTTTGGGCGTGTGTCCAGCCTCAAAGCCAAATGCGCAAGGCTATGAGGTGGCTGGCCTGAAGAAGGCTAGAAAGAAACCATGCACAACCAGAAGTGTGGGCCCACACCTGATGGTTCTTTCCAGGGTGGACGACCCCATGCAAGGGCTGCATGTGTTTACTTGTTCATCCATCACCCACAGCTGAAATATTGTTGTGGAGAAAATGTACGGGCTGGCTGTGCCGCCGGCCGTTTCATCACATCATTTTGGTACAGATCCAATCCCCATATGCTGATGTCTCTTTCCAGCTATGGGTAGGGTCTGAGCTAATGGTCCTAGAGCTGTGCTCTGGACCGTATTCTTCAGTCGTTTGGGCCCCAAGAAGCATGTTGAGATGTGTCTTGCCTCAACATGGGGATGTGCTGGTGTGTTGCCCAGCCTGCCTACTCTTCGGTTGCCCCAGACGCTGGTCTTATTCTGGTGCTCTGAATGTCGCTGAATAAGTGACAAGATCGGAAAAATGTGAAAAAGCCACTGAACAAGTGGCAAAGATAAGGAAAGACTCCTGGACAAGGAGCTTTGGACCAGTCAGAGCGTTTGTGATTGGTCTCGCTGTATGTTAGAGTGTACTCCGTTGGCTGATGGTTCTTTCCAGCCATGGGGTCACTCTAATGTGCGTTTGTGGGGCTGTGTCCCCAGCCGCTCAGTTTACAGGCATGCGCTTTAGGGAACATGCCGTGATGTCACTTTCCCCGGCATGGCACTGAGCTGATGTGACTTTCCAGCTCGGCACCTTTTTGGCGTCTTGGCCTGGTGCAAATGGTGCTTGCCACTGAAAAAGCGGCTGGAATCTGCTTACCACTGTGAAAGTGGTGCTGCCATTGTTGCAAGTGGTGCAACATTGGCTGGTGTATACCACTGAAAAAGTGGTTGTAACGGGCTGCCACTGAAAAAGTGGTACAGCTGATGAGATTGGACACGTTTGGTTGATGCTTACCGCTGCAGAAGCGGTAGTGTGCAGCTGCCGCTGCAAAAGTGGCGCTGCCCTGGAAGTTTGAATGATCTGGTAGATGTTCACCGCTGAAAAAGTGGTATTGCTCCTGTATAAGGAGCTGGACGATCATGCAAAACTGCAGAATCAGTTTCTGAGTAAGAAACTGAAGTTCAGACTCCGTTTTGAGGACATATGCTGAAAATGCATGTTTGGAGTGTGAGTACAACAAGTGCACGACTGAATCCCTGAAAAAGGGATGTGTGCACTTACTCAACAGTTTCTGAAAAAGGAGCTGTGGGGTTATGCAGAACTGTAGAATCAGTTTCTGAACAAGAAACTGAAGTGCAGAAAGTGGTTAAGGAGACATGCTGGAGAAGCATGTTTTGTTCTGGATTGTCACCGGTACACGACTGAATCCCTGCAAAAGGGATGTGTGCAATCATCAAACAGCTCCTGAAAAAGGAGCTGTGGGATTGTGGGAAGGTGTAAGGCAGTTTCTGGAGAAGAAACTGCGTTTTCTGAGCTGATTTTGAGGCTAGTTTGAGGCAAGACATGCTGAAAAAGCATGTAATGCATTTGCTTGGAAGTGGTGAATGTTTGGTCCCTGAGAAAGGGACTTGCACACCACCAGACAGCTCCTGAAAAAGGAGCTGGGTGATCCCGTTGGTGGGAAATTTGCGTACAGTACTGAATAAGTACTGTACTGCGGGATGGCTATAGATTGTCTGGCGGACAGTACTTAATGTATGTGGGGGGTATGGCCGGTGATTCCGACCATGCCTCTCCGGCCCTCTGCCACTGCGTGGGCGGCGGTGTGGCAGAAGCCCTTCGAGGAGTGGGGCCCCGATGAGTGGCTCCCTCTCTCGGGGGCCTGCCAGTACCCTGCCTTACGCAGGGTGGAAACGACAATGCCGGTCATCCGAGGGGGGCGGCCATATCAGGAGACGGTTGTACGTCTCCTGACCCCCCTCGATGTGCCGGCAGGCCGTATGGCGGGCCCGGGGACCGCGAGTCGGGCGGCACCGACAACGCCTGGAGGCGCACCCCCGCGGACGCACCGAGAAGCCCCCACACCGCTCGGAGGGGGTGCGCAAGCGAGGCGGAGGGTGCGGCGAGTGACGGAGAGGGCCGCGCGTGAGGCGCGAGCGGTGGCGGAGGTCGCGCTGCGCCATCCGAGCGATGAGAACGAGGTGCGGGCGGAGGAGCTGAGGACTGCCGCAGAGGCTGCGCGCGAGGCGATGCGCGGCCTCGAGGCCGCGCTTGCGAGGTGCGGTGGCGGGGCGGCGCGGCCGCCCGTCGACGACGCATTTCTGCGCGCAATGCTACCGCCGGAGAGGCCGAGAGGCGCGGTGAGTGGGGGCGACTCGGTGGCGGGTAATGGCGCCGGAATA